AGAGTATTGGCCTGTGGGCTGAAGGGTTCCAGGTTCAATTCTGGTCAAGGGCATATGCCCAGGTTTTGGACTCGATACCCACTGGGGGCCGTGCATAAGGCAGCCCATCGATGATTCTCTCGCATTATTGATGTTTCTATCTCACTTCCTTTCTGAAATCAATAAAAATATATATTTTTTAAAAAACATAGACAGTATCACTTAGTTTCATCATGGGCTCTTATTAAATGTTTATCTCCTCCCTTCCTAGATGGAACAGTTTTCACCTTGCGGCTACTTGTAACAAATACAGCAACAACTCCACAACCAATATGTTTATCTTCCACTCCCACTAAAAGTTAACTACTACCTGAACTTCACCACTCCACTGAAACTGCTAGTTATGTTCACCAAGTCTATATAATTGCCTAATCTAGTTTCTTAAACTGGATTTTACAAGGCCTCCATGACCGTCACAGCTGATTAATCTTGAAACTTTAAAAACCCTGGGTTTGGTGATACCAATACTCCTTGTTCTTGTCTCTCATTGACCTTTCTTAGTCTCCTTTATATGTTCCTCTTTTCTAGCCTGTAAATGCTGATGCTCTCCAAGACTTGAATCTCATCACTTCTCACTTTTCACACAATTCTCAAGTAAATTCAAGTGACAAAATACATAGTATTTTTATATAACTTTCATCAGATAAACTAGCAGAAAATGATTACATATTTTATAGACCCATGGAAAAAAAAGAAGCTGCAAAAGTATGACACATGATGAGATAAAATTTAAATTGCTCTATTAATATTCTTATATCGATTTTCCATTAGCTAGCTCTTGTTCATAGATAAGTGGCACAAAGCATCACATGTACCAAGTAAATTTATGAGAAAAACTGAAAAATGACCACTGGTGATCTTATTTTTCTGGACACTGGGAGAAGATTCCCTTTACCTTTCACCCTGTAAATATCTGTTTACATGACTGCTTAACCTCTAGGTAAGAGATCCCTTTCCCTGCCTTTTCATCTTTACAGCTCTAGAAGGAAACACAAATGACTGACCTATAGCAAGGAGAGAGAAAGGAAAAAGGAGGATGGGTAGAAGAGTGAGCAGTGGCTTGGCTGGCATAGCTCAGTGGTTGAGCCTTGGCCTATGAGCCAGGAGGTCATTGTTCAATTCCCTGTCGAGTACACGCCTAGGTTTTGGGCTTGATTACCAGTGAGGTGCATGATATAAAAAAAGTAATTAGAATATTTGAAAATTATGAGGCTATTTGAACTATCATCTAAGAGCAGGGTAGGTTTGCAAATGAAGAGACAGCTAATTAATTCAGAAAATGCACTAGTAAGTTGGTTATTTGTGATTACCAATATTTGTATTAGCCCAACTACTATAAACCTGATCCCTAGAAAAGATCAAAGGAACAAACTATCATTGGGGGCAATCAATTATTTTGCTACAAATGGCATTCAAAGACTAAAATTAATAGCCTGAAAATTGCAATAATCAAATGTGGGCTGAAATTAAGACTAAATTAGAAAATGAATAGCTCTCTAAAAGAAAGAAATTCTATGATTGGAATAATTTCTAAATAATTTTAAAAATATTTATTTCCACTGGTTTGTTTTTAAGCAACTAGTTAAAGGCTTTTTCAAGTTCAACATACTTTCAAAACCATACTTTTTTTAATGTTTGATGTTAGCTGTCGTAACTCTTCAGGACAAAAACCAAAGTTTTCTTTCCTACTTATTACATTCCCAAGGATATGAATAACCAAACATATGCACTATAGAGAAAAAATGACATGAATATATTTATTTTATCTTCTTGGACCTGCCTGATCAAATTTATTATACATACACATATATATAATAATTTTTCTAAAATTATCCTGAGCATTAACTCATATCAAACATTGAAAACTCTATTTTATAGTCCACAGTAAATGATTTAGTTTTGCTATCAATATGGAATTTATAGCTCAAGAAATTATACGCTATTAATCCAACAGGGGAACCTTGTTCATCAATATATTCATTTCTTCCCACTATTAGAATTATTTTAGCTACATAAAATGTCATGTTTTCAATCATATTTTTAACCTATTGAACAAAATTAGTTAGTATTACTATACTTTACACATAGAGTACCATTCTTTAAAATATATTCCTTTTATTTGTACCTAATGGCATCAAATAAGAGTTCCTAAAAATAATAATTTGTGCATAAAATTTGTTTAGCATTTGGGCAGCAAATTCTCTTAAGATAATAACTGCTACTCCATAACAGCAAAAAACAAATGTTCAGCCCAGGAAAAACTAAACACCTTATCCAAAAGCAAATAAATTGTAAAGAAAGGTATGGAATGTGATCCCAAATCTTATTCTAAATGTCCTTCTCCAGTGTCACTCTATCCACCTAAAATGACTTAACTACTGAGATCTTCTGTCAACATCCATCAAGAAACTCTATTAGCACTCAGCAAATAAAAGTGGAAAAGTAGTTACTCTTAATAAAGTTTTATAACAGCAAATGGCAACTGTTCATATTCAATCTTAAGTTTTAAATTTTTCTAACTGTTAATGTATTTTAAAATGTTTCTTTCAAAATCATTAACATTTAGGAGAGGAGAGGAGGGCAAAATGGATAAAAGAGGCTAAATGTAGGATAACAGAAATTAGACTTTTGGTGGTAAACAAACAATAGAGTGAACACATATAATTGTAACATACACCTAAAATTTATGCAATTTTATTAATTAATATTATCCCAATAAAAGTATCATTAACATTTGTACACTACAAAAAAATTCCACATTTAATCATGAGCATAGAATCTAAATATAATAAAATAATTCCATTACATTACTCAGAATTATTTACATCTATTGGTTGGCTAAAGGTAGAAGACTTTTGAGATCTAAATTAAGTGTGAAGGTATATAAACTTTATATAAAATAGATTCATAACTACATTTGACTTTTACACATTATTTTTTAACTATTAAAATACAAACTGCTGCCCAGATGCTGTGCTCAGTGGTTGAGCATTGACCTATGAGCCAGGAGATCACAGTTCAATTCCTGATAGGGCATATGCCTGGATTGCGACCTGATCCCCAGTGTGGGGCATGCAGGTAGCAGCCAATGATTCTCTCTCACCATTGATGGTTCTCTCTCTCTCTCCCTTTCCTTTCTGAAAGCACTAAAAAAAATTAAAATTATATTTTTGAATTGCTCTTCTTTCAATCATTATTTTATTTCTACTTTTCCTCTTCATCCCTCAAATTGCTCTCACATCATCACACATACAGGACCAGCTCAGTTAACTCACCAGTGAGCAGCAGTGGGGATGCACACTAAGCATAGCGAGGCATACTAAGAATGGTATAGAGATCCTGTGCTAAAGCAATTCCACAGTTAACCATTTAGACTCCCCAACATTAAAAAGCTACAACTTTAACCATTCAGAAAGTTGAGGGAAAATGCAAAGACTAATTATGTCCTCAGAACATATGCATTGGTCAGACCAAATCAAAATAAATAAATGAAAAAATTCCTCTTCCTCAATCAAAGCATCTGCAAACAGAATCACACTTTTACACATCCAAACATACGGGCACCTTTCTAAAAGTATCATTATACTTTCCCGACAAACTCTGATATACATAATAACTACTACGTTCTATTTAAATATACTTCTTAAATAAATCCTAAAGAATTTTAAATGTACTAAAGGAGGAAAAATATTTTAAGGAACTTCATGGTGATTTGAGGAAATGCTGGGGTGGGGGGTGGATGGGGTAGCAGCAAGTCCCGATTTTATCAGTTTTGAAAAAAGAAACCAAATTTTCATAAATTAGATTTGGTTAATGAGCAGATTCCACAACCACTTCATCAAAGCTTTAGACATAAAGCCTGCTAATTGAATCTCTGGTAGGAAATTAAGAAAGTAAAGGTTCCAAAAAAGGCAAGAGTTAACAGCCAAAATTCTGGCAAACTACCCAAAGATCTAACCTTAGAGCTACCATAAAAGGCTTCAAGAACTCTTACCTTTATAGCCAGGAATTGGGACTCTTAGCTTAGGACAAGTATGGCAGTAAAAAAATAAAATAAGCCGGGACCGGTTTGGCTCAATGGATAGAGCGTCGGCTTGGGGACTGAAGGGTCCCGGGTTCGATTCCGGTCAAGGGCATGTACCTTAGTTGCGGGCATATCCCCAGTAGGGGGTGTGCAAGAGGCAGCTGATCGATGACTTTCTCTCATCGATGTTTCTAACTCTCTATCTCTTTCCCTTCCTCTCTGTACAAAATCAATAAAATATATATTTAAAAAATAAATAAATAAAAAATAAAATAAAATAAAAAAGAATAAAGATTGTATACCCAGCTCTTCAGAAATGAAATAATCACCATCAACCTATGATTCTAATTAAATCTATCCTGTGTTCAGAGGTAAGTGGGTAAATATTTGATTTTGAGTGTTTTGTTTATTGGTTCTGGTTTGATTAATCTAAGCCTCCATTTTTGTTTAGTATCAAGGACTGCCTTTGATGGTTAAAAGTTTAGCACTGTTTAGAAGTAATTCACAGTCCTTGTTTGACAATTATCAAGGATATGTTGATTAAGGGATATCAATCCAATAAATATTGTCACCATTTGAATTCATTTGACTATTTTTAAAGGTTATGCCATGTAATACTTTAAAGAAGAAAAATAGAGAATACTACAAATAACAAAATAAAATATTTCAATTCTAAATAATGTGGTAATAAGGAGCTTACATATAGGCAATAGTGATAATCATCTTTATAGTTCAATTTTTAATATTCCACAGAAATTTTACAATGCAGTGTTTAATAAAATGTGATCCAGAAATCTATTGTAGTACATATAAACTACTAGCATTATTAGAAAAGTAAACAAATAAGCTACTTCTCGCACCCACCTCTTCCCCAAAGATAGTTGTAGTTAAGCAAAAGCAACCGGAAAAAAAAAAAAAGAGCATTCTAAACACTCACCTTTTGTTGACTGGCTTTTCATCCTTTTCATACGGTCGAACAAACCATTTCCCAATCCTAACGAAGTTCTTATCCATTAGGCACCTATGATAATTGCATCAAAAATTATTTTTATAGTTTCAATAATAAATTAAGAAGTCATTGCATCAATAATGACAAATGGCATACATAATTGGAAATAAAAAACATCAGCAATTAAACTGTCAAAATATTTCCTTATCACTGAGATATTCAAAATTTCCTTATGTGAAGATATGGCAAAATTCTGTAAGGTAGCAAAATATTATATTATCTTGCAAGATCACTTGCAAGATTTACAGACTGTTCTTCAATCAACAGTCCTAGGAAAGCATTTCTCTTTAGAAATAATTCCTAGTTCCCTGCTACTGCTCAAAATTCACTGTTTCACAAAGAAAAGAAAAAAAACCAGCTGCTGAAAATGAAAATGCTATCAGGGGGTGTGTGTGTGTGTGTGTGTGTGTGTGTGTGTGTGTTGCCATATGGCTCTAAATAATTAACTACACAAGCAACTTGACTCCAAAGTTGGCATGCCCCAAGCTCTAATCCTAAAGCCATGAGCAGACAACATATTGGATTACGGGTGCCATAGCAGCGGTCACAGCCTAACTCCACAAGCCATTTCCTAGATGGGACAGTTAGGAGGGTTAGAAAGGAGCCACCACAAACTTTGGGTTCTTATGTGTCCCTCTAATTATGAAATCATAAGTATGACAGTTTTCATAAATTAAAAAGTCCAAATATAGTTTTCCTCTACCACACTCTCAACCAAGCTGCACTTTAGGTTACCATGAAGTATATAGTGCCTGGCTAGCATGGCTCAGTGGTTGAGCATGAGATCACAGTTCAACTCCCTATGCCTAGGTTAGGGGATTGATCCCCAGTAGGGGGTGTGCACGAAGCAGCTAATCAATGATTTTCTCTCATCATTGATGTTTCTATCTCTCTTGCTCTCTCTTCCTCTCAGAAATTAATATATATATATACATATATACATATATACATACATATATATATATTAAAGTTATAGAGCTGCGCAGGTACAGTAAATTTTATATAACTTCATAACAGAGTAACTTCACCAGTATCAAAGCCTTTACCTTACCACTCTAACTTATACCAAACACGTATGCAAAAAAGTCTCCTTTCTAGAAACTGCAGTGCTCCCAAGTCCCCACCAGATAACAGAAACCTATATAATTAAGGGCTGAAGAAAGTTTTTCAGGTGATTCCTTCTATTAGGAACTCCATTACATTAGGTTTCTACTATGCCCTAGTGATGCTCCCTCCTGTAGCCAAGCACACTCTATTATTCCTGTATCTCCAAAGGCTCTTTAAGGGAGGCTCTTTTGTATGCCTGTTCTCTCCTGAAACATCCATTCTAGTGCAATTACAAACACCCACAAAAATATTTTACTTTTTAAAAATTTTAAAGTATTAATTTTTCCATCCTAAAAATATTAAACAAACACATAAATTGATTATCTTAAGGTGAACATATTTCTCTATTCATTCACAACTATACATGTGCTTCCATTCACTTGTGTCTATGTCTAGTGTCTCTTATAACTATAATCTAATCATAATTATAATTCCAATTTTCATGTATTTCTAACTGTAATAGTAGAAACCTAATGTAATGGAGTTCCTAATAGAAAGAATCAGCTGAAAAGAAATCAGTTATCTGGTTGGGACTTTTAAAGCAGTGGTGGCCAACCTTTTGGACCTCACTGACCACCAGTGGTCCGCGGACCAGCAGTTGGCAACCGCTGCTTTAAAGCATATACCACTTAGGTCTAAAGACTCATTTTCCTACTGTCCTTTAGAGAATTGCACAGTCACAATTCAGTAAAATGGGATCTCACTGATTAATCATGTCCTGCTTCTGTTACCATATTATCCTCAAGGACTCTTCAATGTTGCAATGTTAAATCGCCATTTCTTCACTTAGGGCTGACCCTACCACTGTGTTCTAATGAATACAGGGGTGGGCAAAAGTAAGTTTACAGTTGTAAGTATGCAAAACACAGTTTATTCTTGTATTATTATTCGCTAATTATTGTATTATTTTGTTGTATTACAACTGCAAAGATACTTTGCCCACCCCATATATTTACTATTTTGAAATCCTTGACCCAACACATCCAAGGACAAAGCTCATTTACCCTCTGATGATCACCTCTATTGGATCACAATACTACAGGACATTAAAAGCTAGTAATTTACAAATATGTCATCATAATTATAATTCCAATTTTCATGTATTTCTAACTGTACTTTTCCAAATGAATATCTTCACTCTAAACAGCAACTCTGGCAAATCAAGAGGCTCTGAGCCAGAGGCAATTTTACAGCTGTGTTTTAAACTAACCAGGGATGAATATGCTGACAATCCATTAGGAAAGCAGCACCAGTGGACTACCCTGAAGAGCCATTATTTTTAGAAACGTCAAATACCCACAGATTAAAGTCTCCCTGAGTAAGTAGGGACAGGATAGAGCAAAACAGCTTCAAAAAGCCCAGGTAATCTTCTATTGTGTATAAAGCAATCGTTTGCATGTTTGAGGGGAAATAATACCTTTCCATTAGAATCAGCTTATGTTTTATTCTAAAAACATAGGAAGGAAGGGGGAAGGAGAATCAAGTCAAATTAGCAGAGATTCTATAATATATAAGTAAAAACCAAATTAATGATCTTTTATCGTTCTTGGCATCTTTCCAAAAAGGGATAATGGATCAGTAAGAAAACAGGAAGCATAGTTACTTTCTCAGAAGAAAGAAAAAATAAGCATGATCTTAAAATTATAGAAGTTGGAAGGCCTAAATATTCAAATATTGAAATTCTAAATCACACACAAAAAAATAAATAAATAAATAAATAAATAAATAAATCACAAATGAAGAAAATACCCAAAGAAGCCACTTCGGCTCAGTTTTTAAAAACACCTATAAATATATCCATAATTGTGTTTTAGAAACATATCTGGGTTTAAATAATATAACCAGCACCTGATTGGAGGATAGATTAGAAGGGAGAAGACCGCAACTGACAGGAATGTAGATTGTATCCTCTTCCCAAATGTGTGTTATCCCGCCTTCTCTCACTGACATCAACTTTGGCCATATGACTTTGGCACCCCTACTAATGGATTTTACTTTCTCATCCATTTGACTTTGGTGGTAAATATCTTGGTAGGTAAAATGTGAGCAGAAATGACATATCCCACTTTTGAATAGAGCCTTCAATGAGCTATCGATATTACGTATTTTACCACCACCTTCTGCAAACAGCCCAGCAAGTCTTTGAAAGGGCTGCCACATCAGCAGATTCCTGCCTGCAAGAGAGTGCTGCAGTAAAGGACTCAGAATGGACAGCAGCACAAGCTAGAAATAAAACTTCATCCAGCCAGTGTTGCTCAGTGGTTGAGAGTCAACCCTTGAAAAAGGAGGTCAGGGTTCAATTCCTGGTCAGGGCACATGCACAGGTTTTGGACCCTCCCCAGTAGGGAGCATGCAGGAGGAAGACAATCAATGATTCTCTCTCATTGATATTTCTCTGTCTCTCTACTTCCTCTCCCTCCTCTCTGAACTCAATAGAAATGTGTGTGTTTTTAAAAAGAGAGAGAAAAAGAAAGAAACCTCAATTGTTATAAAGGTAAGATCATTCATGTCTTTTGTTACTGAAGCATAACTGAGCTAACATGGTTGGTAAAAGAGATCACTGCAATATTTTATGAAACAGATGATATCTTAAAAGTAGGCCAGTGGCAACTGAAATGAAGAGAATGCAACTGACTAGAGAAATACCTGGAAGGCTGGAGGAAAGGTGGGGGGTTCAATTGTTGCAGAATAAGGACCACATGGAAGTAGGATGGGATGAATTATATATGATCACCAAAGAAAAGAATTAAGATAAAGAAATAAAAGTTACAGGAAGACAGATTTTTGCTGAGCTTAAGAAAGACTTTCTAACAATGAAAGCTCTCTAAAGATGAAAAGCCCTTCTCTGGTTAACTGTGCTCACATAACCAGAAGTATTCAAGGAAAGAACAGATGAACACATAGAAAGGATATTATAGAATGAGATTCCAAAATTACTTGGGTAAACAAGTTGGCTTTTAATGCTGTGCTCAATTCTAAAAATAGTAGTATCAATACTTCTATCAGCTGATATTAATAGCAGTTAACCATTTATTGAGCTCTTAAAGATCATAGTTAATAAGTACTTACTAATGTACAATGGAGAAAACTATAAAATGCCAACAATATTAATATTAAAAATAGAATACTGAAATCATGGCTCTCCTACACTGAGAACAACACAATATCACTTGTATGGTATTCCTACTCAGTAGCCTAACATAATCATCAGAAAACTATCTCCAATTGAGGAACTTTATATGAAACATTTGGCCTAAATAAATTCAAAATTTCAATGTCAAAAAAAGAAAAGAAGAAGAAAAGCTAAGGAACTCTTCTAGATTTAAAGAGGCATGTAAACCAAATACAATGTATGATCATGGATTGGACCTTGGGGGAACTGGGGTTAAGCTATATAGAACATAAATGGGACAATTGGTAACATCTGAACTGAATTACAGATTAGATAATGGCATTTTATAAATGTTAAATTTCTTAATTTTCATAATTGCACTATGCTTATATGAGAGGATATCCTTGTTCTTAGGAAATGTATACCTAAATACTTAGAACCACCTCAAGTATGCAAATGAATGCAAAAAATGGTTCAGGGTAAAAATTTTAAATAATTACACACGGGTAGGAATGGGGTGTTGTTTAGGACAAGCAGCCACATTAATTATGAAGCAAACTGGGCAAACAAAAACTGGTAAATCTGTATAAGAAGATATCAGGGAATTATTTGTGTCTTGAAAATTCTCTAACTTTTAAATTATATCAATATAAAAACACACAAGATAGTAATATAATTTTATTTATATAAAGTATAAATAAGTATCTAGCATTATACTGGTGTCTCCATATCACCTTGATGCTGTTCCTTCTCTTACCTTTCTAACAGATTGTGGATTGCTTTGAAGAGTAGCGTCCGACATTCATAGGAAAGGCCATTTTCCCAGAGTCCTTCTTCCACAACTGGGGGTGGGAAAAAAAGAAAAGAACCAGTAAGCAGGGCATCCAAATAAAAACAAATTTTAAAACCAATTTTCTAAAGCAAAGTGAATAAGTAAATATAAATAAACTCACACTTAAACAGAGAAAGGAAGAACTTAACAAAAGTTATAAAATACAAAATACAGAAGAAAATATATGTTTAGATTTTAAAGTCTTTGAAATATAGGCACGGTACAATAACTCTTCTATAAAAGTCTTTCAAACCTGCTTATTCCGCCCTACCCAGTTTGGCTCAGTGGGTAGAGCAATGGCCTGCAGACTGAAAGATCCAGGTATTGATTCCAGTCAAAGGCACATGCCAGGGTTGTGGGCTGAATCCCTAGTAGGGGGCGTGCAGGAGGCAGATGATCAATGATTCTCTCTCATCACTGATGTTTCTCTCTCTCTACCCCTTTCCCTTCCTCTCTGAAATCAATAAAATTATATATGTTTAAAAAACCTGTTTATCCCGGGTTTAAAATAGTTTATAATTCTCAAATCAATCTTTATACTTTATAGTGTCAAAAAGACTAATTTTGTTAGAGTTCCATTTAAAGTTATTTAAATGGAATGAATACTGAATATATTATATATATTTTCACAGGAAAAATCAAAAGGGAAAAATACCTAATAACGTCAGAGTTACATAAAAATTTTAAATGTTTTGAAGGCAGTATCTGAATAGGATTTTAAGGACATGATTTTAGGGAGAATGTCAGAAAACTAAATCTTAATATAACATCAATTCATTTCCTGAACTCATAATTTCTTTTTTAAAGATTTTATTTTTTTAATCTTAACTGTTGAAAGTATTACAAATGTCCCCCTTTTTTTCTCCCTTGACCCCTCTAGTCTGCATCCACACCCCCCCCCAGACCCTCACCACACTGAACTCCTAATTGCATGAATGTTTGACATTTGGAGAAATAATACTTGCCTTTGAAATATAACATTGAACCACAAGTAACTCTAACACCAAAGAGAATCAAACAGATTAACATTGCCTACGCATTCCTAACATCTTTCCATATATAAAAATATATAAGCCCTAACTGGTTTGGCTCAGCCTGCAGACTGAAGAGTCCCAGGTTAGATTCCGGTCAAGTGCATATACCTTGGTTGCGGGCACATCCCCAGTAGAGGGTGTGCAGGAAGCAGCTGATCAATGTAACAATCCCTCTCCCTTCCTCTGTTAAAAAATCAATAAAAAAATCTCTCAATCTCTCTCTTTCTCTCTCTCTCTCTCTCTCTCTCTCTCTCTCTCTATATATATATATATATATATATATATATATATATATATATATATATATATATATATATATATCTGTGTGTGTGTATAAAATGCCCTAGAAAGATAGCTAATTTTCTTTCAAATTGTATTATTTCAAGATTGCAAAAAATGGGAAGGATGAAAACGACATTTGTAGAAGTAAATTTTCTGTCCCTTTTTGTTGTTATCTTGACTAAAGCATTCACCAGTGAAAATTTTGACAGAATTAAAACACAGGTTAAATCCACATTACATCTTTAACGCTTTTATCTCTCTAACTGGTATCTTAAAATGCATCTTCATGTTCTCCAATGAGGTAGTATTTGAAGAAGTGTATTTACATTCATGGGTTTTATTTATAGAATTTTTTAAATGATAAAACTACATAAATATTTTTTGTCCTCATATGTCAGATTACCATTTTCCTGCCTATATGGCTCATCATGATTTTCCCAAAATCTCTGGCGAAAACATTTTCTCTTATTATAATTACAGAAATGAAAATAAAATACAATAAACAAAACATTCCTCTTAGCAACAGATTGTCTCTGTTCAAGACAAAGCATCTCAAACATATTTTTACAATTCTCTGAAGGGGTCATGAATCTGTTCTCACACATTTATCTTTTGGGTAACGCTTTTCCTAGGTAAGAAAGACAACTAACATTTCAATAAAAGAAACATCCCATAGTAATTGCTTTTCTTTGCTTTCCCAATGTGTTTCATTACTTCTGAAACATTATCAATTTTAAGAAGTACCATTATTTTATAGGTCACTAGAAGTCGCAGAGGGAATGAAGCTGCCAATTAAACTATAACATGGTACTTAACACTTAGAATTTTTAATTTGTATTTATTTAAAGAGCTTTAAATTGAGATATATTTTTTTAATTATTGTTGTACATAAAACAACTAATATATTCAAAGAAATAAGTTTAAAATTCCCAATACTTCATCAACATTCAAAGTCCAGCTCTTATGAATCACTCAACTTAGTCACTGGTGTCCGTGTTTCTCTACGTAATAGTCTTTTGTGCCAAAGTATTGGTGATGCAGCATTTGTAAAATGAGTACTCATTGTTTCCAAGTTGGTAAGACCCATTCTGTCTGTTCCACACCTTCCTGCAATGTGGACAAGGATATACAACCTCCATTTCACTAGATGCTACTGCACACATCTCTGACTCTGGATCTAGTGACACAAAGGGAGTGGCAGGACAGAGGTCTTTCTGTGTGCAGCTGAAAGATAGTTTGCTGTTACAAGCATCTTGTGCTTGGTGATAGCGCTAGTTTCTCATCAGGCCAATTATGCAGCACTGACCCTAGAAGTGCCAAAGAATTCTGCGAACAATTCTTTTAAGAAACTCCTTTTGTTAGTTTGCAACTAAAAATTCTGACCAATTCAGCGCATTCTAAATTCCATTATATAAATGAGAAAACGGAGACTTAAAAATCTTAAACTTGCCCAAAGTTACACAACTCAGTTCAAGAATATAGTCGCCCTGGCCAGTTTGGCTCAATGGATAAAGTGTTGGCCTGTGTACTGAAGGTCCCGGGTTTGATTCCAAGGGCACATGCCTGGGTTTCCGGCTGGATCCCCAGTAGGGGCCGTGCAGGAGGGAGCTGATCAATGATTCCTTCTCATCACCAATGTTTCTATCTCTTACTCCCTCTCCCTCTCTGAAATAAATAAAAATATTTTAAAAAGTAATCTAGAGTTAAACATAGCTACTACACTCAACGGCTAAATGGATTTCATATCTACTTTTAGAAATAGTAAACATATGAATTATCCCATTATTTAAACTCAAGGGAGTTTTTTTCATAGCTGCAGTGATTAGGACATTTCAAATACTCATGTGTTAAGTTGACCCGATATTATGTATACATATACTTTTCAAATTTCATTTGTATTAGCTTCAACCTAAAAAATCCTTATATCTAATTAAGTAGAGTCATGGCAAAGAAGAGATTCAAACCCAAGTTTTCTGACTCTCACACCCATGTTCCTTCCATGAAACCATACATCTCCATAGGGTTAGTGTTAGCTCACCTCACCCCCTCCTTTTACTCTTATTACCGACTAGAAAAGCAACTTTCCACACTGAAGTTAAATTACCCTTTGGATCCACCATTTGCACTTTAAATTAATGTTTTCTAATAGCTGCAAGTAACCTTTTCAAAAGTTAAACAAAATTGAAATTGCTTCTGCAATCTATTTGTACAGCCCCCATAGGAAAGTCAGAGAAAAATCACATAATAGCTTTTAAAACTAATTTATTTGAGACACCCTACTCCCAAGGTAAAATTTAAGCCAGCACTTCATTTATTTGATATGAGATTCTTCAGAAAGTATCCTTTAGGATTAAGGAAGAGAGGGGGGAGGTCCAGAAAGTAGTTAGTCTAGGTTAAGGGTTGTTTCTACAAATGACATTAGATGCATTTACTACTTAATCCCCTATTTCCCTTCCAAGGTGGACTGAGTAGAAAAGCAACTGCCAAAAAGGTGATGAGACCAGCAGGTGCTGGCACCTGTCTTTATGAAACCTACAATCTCCCCAGGGTATATACTATCTCCATTTTTTTAAGCCTTTCTAATTCTTTTTGATCTTCCAAGTTTCAACTTAAATCATTATTACTTCAGAATACAAAGTTGCAAGAAGACTATCTCTATAGACTATATTCATAAATCTATTTACATATAATAGAAGATAATTTTTCTAAAATTTTGTTAATAGGCTCAGAAGAAAGCATCAAGAGGCCTAAAATATGTGTACCATAATGAGTGGCAAGAATCAGCTAAAGCAAAGAATTCCTAAGTTATAACATTCTCCTACTGTTTGTAGTCTATGACAGCCCCACTGAAACTGAAAAATGAGACTAAGCACTGCGACAGCTGCCTATTTACAAAGAGAAATGTTATCTCATTTGTATTGTAAAAGCTATAATCAGAATATTTTAAATTGCTGTTATTCAACCTTTTTAAAAATAGTAATCCAAAATCAAATATTTAAATTGCAAAAGAACGACATAAAAGTTTTAGCAGAAGAAATGAAAATTTAAATAGCAGTAATTATTGCTCAGTGCCCAAATTATTTTTCCAAGTCCTCACAAATCATAATACAAAACTATCAACTTTGCAAAGCATGCTCCTTTCAGAATAAGCGTTCTGAAAGAAAAACCATATGAAAGTGTCAGGAAAAAAAGTCAATATGGCAAAATATCAAAGCAGCATATACTTCCAATAATTTTGTGTTTCCCAGCAGAGATCTTGGAAAGATATCCCTTCCAATTGGGCAAATGAAACTGGCACACTTTACTTGAAGGGGGAAAATGGGAGGAAGAAGAATGGAATAGGATGGGAAGGAGCATAAAGATTGTGAATCCTTGAAGAAATTCAAGCTCATCCTTTTAGAATTCAGGTCACTCTGACTTACACAGTTTAACAGTAGAATTACTTTCAAAGAGTACATATTTCCTCTGAGCTATGATACATATTTCCTTTTAATGTATCATATTGCAGCAACAGCTGAAATGAAGGTCTAGACATCAAAAACATTTCTTACTCCCACCTACTGCTTTTTTACCTCAGGCATCAAAACTAATGAAACCTATTATCCAGAACATTGAGTTCAGTAACTGCATTGGCAATCGCAAATATGGGGGGGGGGGGGGGGGGAGAAGGGAGGGGTACGGGGGGGAGCGCAGC